ACCTACATACTGCTTATCAAGCCATGCCGTGGTGGCATCCCACACAGAATAACTAGAAGGACTTAGAACTATGATATACAACTATGCACTGGGGCTTTGGGGAGGAAAAAAAAAAGGGAAGATTGGCAACAGATGTTATCTTAGGGCCAGTCTTCCTCATTGGAAAAAACATAAAATACTCATTTTTAAATGATTATTATATGTTGAAATATTTTGGATATATTGGGTTAAGTAAAGTACATTATTAAAAATAATAATTTCACCTGTTTTTTTACTTTTTACACTTCTAAATGTGTCTGTATTAGAAGTTTTCAGATTACATATGTGGTTTGCATTTGTGGCTCACATCATTCTGTTGGATAATGCTGATCTCTCTGCTGAAGACTCAAATTTATCTCTCTTGTCTGTGCTCAAAGTTCAGGGATCCAAAGACCTACTTGAGAGTGCTCCTTGGTGGTTTTAATTCATCTCAAACTTGATATATCTGAAGTAGAACTCCTGAGTCCCCCACTCCAAAATAGTTTCTCCTCCAGTCTTCCCCATTTCTTTAAATAGTGTTACCATCCACATAGCTGCTCCAGCCAGATTCCTGGTAGTCATCCTTGATACTTCCCTCATTTCTTATTCCCCCTCATCAGTTCTTTAGCACATTTTATATCAAATGTTGCCACTTCTGTCCATGTCTTTGCCACAGTGATAGTCAAGACCATACAAACCATCTACCACTAGGACTATAGTGGCCTTCTCCTGGCCTCTCTTTTCCTTCTTTGTTTTTTTCCTCTCTTGTCTGTCTGCAATTTTTATTTGTATTTCTTTGGTGAGGAAGATTGTCACTGAGCTAATATCTGTGGCAATCTTCCTCTATTTTATATGTGGGATCCCTCCACAGCATGGCTTGAGCAGTGCATAGTTCTGCACCTGGGATCCAAACCTGAGAACCCCAGGCCACCGAAGTGGAGTGCAGTAACTTAACCACTATGCCACCGGGCCAGCCTCCCGTCTTTCCTCAGTGTAATCTCCATTCAGTAGCTGGGATGATCTTGTTAAATATAAATCAGATTGTCACTCCATAACTTAGAAGCTTTCAGCTACTTCCCATTGTATTTAAAATAAAATGCCAGTCCTCTACCGTGGCCTAAAAATGTCTTGAAGTGTCTGGCCTCTGCCTCACACTCCATCATCATCTCAGGCCCTTCCACCTCACCTACCTTTTTCTAACCACACTGGCCCTCCTTTCAGATCCTTGTTCACCAAGCACTTTCCTCCCTCGGGGCCTTCTTTCTACCTGGAAGGACCTTCTCTTGACCATTTTAGGGGTAACTTCTTCACTTTCAGGTCTTAGCTTCAGGATCAAGCATCAGAGGCCCCTCCCTGACAACCTCTAAGTAGATGCCCCCTCCCATTCTTCCCTACCATTGTGCCCAGTTTGTATATTTTGTGGCACTTAACCCAATTTCTTTGCTTAATCAGTTATTGAATAATTTCTTCACAAAATCATAAGCTAGGGGGATGGGAAATTGCCCCAGTGCCGGGCAACAGTGCCTCGCACATAAAGGCTTTTAATATAAATGTGTATATGTAAGCTATCACTTGAATGATGTGCTTCTCTTGGGAACATACTACCCCCTGGCCTTGCCCCCGTCCATTCATTTTTAGGAGTCGCAGAAGTCATTCAAGAAACTTAGTGCCAGCAGAGGACTGGGCCCTAGGGTATGACCAGAGGATTTGTGGATGGCCACTGTTAGGGCTAGAATCATGCCCCATCCCATAGGAGTTCAGCAGTCAAGAAAGGCAGAGATGGAGGAACTTTTTGATAACCTAGGAGAGCCCTTTAGCTTCGAGACTTGGTGATCCCTAAGGGCAGAGCTTGAGTAGGTTTGTCTCTAGGTCTTAGAATTGGGCAAGAAACAGGAGGGGGAGCTGGAATCCTTGAAAGACTGAAGAGGAGGACAGTTTTGTCTTCCTGCACAGATAGTCCTCTTGAGAGTTTGCCATCACAGATTTGTTTCTTTGTGGGTCTACCTCTTCCATTAGTTGCTGAGCTGCAGGAGGGGTGGAACACTCTTCTGCTCGCACTCAGTTTGTGATGGTAATAGCCAGTCAGGTGCTTTACATTTACCCTGAACAAGTGTAAGAGGAAAGTTACAATTGTTCTCACTTTACAATTGAGGAAACAAGCTCAGAGAGATTAAGTAATATGCGCAAGGCCACAGAAAGGGCTTGGGTTTAAGTTCTGGCCGTCCAGCTCCAGAGCCCGAATTTTAGGCATTAGTCTAGCGAGTGTGCACAAGCTCCACCCCTGGGTGGGAGCTCCATTCCCAGGTGTGGCCGGGGTTCTGTCACTCCGCTGCTTTGTCTGCCCACCTCTGTTCAGGGAAGTACTGGTCCGGGTGGGGATGCGTGCTGGCAGCAGCATGGTCCCTGAGTGTTGGCCACTCGCACCTAGCTTAGAGCTTGGCCAAAATTTCTCGTGTCCAGACAGAAAGGCAAGGTTCGATCCACAAACACAGCCACTGAAGTGTGTTGGCAGTGCCCCAACTTGAAGGGACTGTAATGGTACTTACGGCAGGAAGGGCCCTTTCCCTAACCACTCATTTTCCTAATTTCATAGCCAATGTCCTGCTTCTGAGATACCAGAGCCAAGGGCTGGCCAAGGCCATCACTGGCACTCTGGTTCACCTCGCCAAATGAAGAGGCTTAAAAACCTCCCTCTCCACCTGCTTCCATGTACATAGGGCCTACTCTTAGGAGGGCCGGGTCCCTTTGCCAACTGCTCTTCTCCATTTCAGTAGCTTCTTAAGACACACTAGGAATCGGGAGTCTTTTCTCCTCACCACTGTGTGTGGGGAGGGGGGCCAAATTATTTAACCTTTATAAACCTTGTTTGCTTTAATTCCTGGGAGACGAAAGATGTTGCCTCACTGAGTTCTTGTGGATAAGCAGAGATGATGGATGAGTCATCAAATCTGTAGTGCCATTGTGAGGTTTGAATTTGGCCTGGGTCCTCAAAGAGCTTGCAAACCTAAGGCACTACTGATTGAAATCATCTCACCAGACATTTCCCTCTTCCTTAGTGGGTTCCTGGGGCTGATCCATCAATAGTTCTTGCACTTGGCAGTAGAGCATAGACTTCATCTTTTTTATTTTCATTTTTTTTTTTTTGAGGAAGATTAGCCCTGAGCTAACATCTGCTGCCAATCGTCCTCTTTTTGCTGAGAAAGACTGGCCCTGAGCTAACAACCATGCCCATCTTCCTCAACTTTTTTTAAACGTGGGACGCCTGCCACAGCAAGGCTTGACAAGCACTGCTCTCAGGTCCGCACCTGGGTTCGAACCCCAGGCCTCCAGAGTGGAACGTGCAAACTTAACTGCTGTGCCACTGGACCAGCCCCAAACCTCATCTTAAGAAAGCTCTGAAGTGGATTCTTCTGACAAGCAGACAGCTCTTCCTACGAGCGCATTTTTATTTCTCTCCACTTCCAAATCTCTTATGGCAGGAGACTCATCTCTGAGGACCAGATTTGTGAGCCAAATCCTGACAAGCCATGAGGCCAATCTTGAGCAAGTTGTTTCCCTTTTCTGGGCTACCTTGGAGCCAGCCAACCCTTTTCTGCCTTTGGACAAGCTCTGTGTGGTGCATTGAGTGCCCTGAGGTCCTAGTATCTTTCTGTGTCACATTGTCTAACTCCTCTGTGGCTGGAAATCAGAGAAGAGGTAGATTTGATGCTGTTGCAGGCCTAAAAAGTGGAGCAAAACTTTGGTTACACAGTAGGAGCTTTTGCCAAGGACGAGCTGTGGCTCAGTAGGTTTGTCTCCCCCACCACCCTAGGGAGGGTGTTGCAGTAGAACCCAGGGAGTTGTCTTACAGGGGAATCTGGATACTTTTCTCGCCAGCAGCAATATTTAAATCAGGGTAGGGTTTACTTTGCTTGTATTTGAAGTGCCTCGGTGTTTGGGCCTTGTTTGAGGTGGTGCCCAGAACCCCACCTCAAATAGCTGACTGCTCAGGAAGAAATCCATGGAGATGGAGGGCCGGGGTATTACTCTTTTTCTCCCCCAAACTGGGCCAAGGGCATCCCCTCGGCCTTCCTCATCTCTCACATTTCAGTCTCTGTGGACTACTGATAAGTATATTTCTATTTCAAAGGGGAGAGATAGTAAGAGTTTCAATCTCAAGGCACAAAGAATAAGCTATAGAATTTTTGTAGAACTCCGTAAATAACTGCCCTTCTCTGAACTCTCACAATGCTTTTACGTTTCTCATAGCAATGAACACTTCATCATACCATGCTGTCTTTCAATAGTCTCTTAAATATCTGAGACTTTAGGTCGTCTTCCCTGCTCCTCAGTACTCAGTGGTGCCTTGAGAAAAGCCCTTAGACATGGCCTGGTCCGCAGCAGGTGCTCGGCAAATGCAAGGGTGGGACAGGCACAGCCCATTCCTTTATTTATGGCTCAGGGACTTAAACCTGCCCCCTTGACTACCCCTTCAATCACATGTCCTTATGGATGGTCCTTTTCCTTGTATTTTTTCTCTCTTTAAAGCAAAACACCAACTTAATTGGCTTCATGATTAGGGGAAGAGACCTCTTTTATATCAGACAAATCTCACATTTATAATCACTTTTGTTCCCCTCCAGAGCGATTTTTTTTAAAAAAAATGAATCTGATCCTGTTACCTCCAAACATAAAACCCTTTACTAGCTTCCAATTAAAGATAAATTTCTTAACACAGCCTCTCATGAACTGTGCCTGTAACTTAGCTCTTCAGATTTCTCCTGCACAGATTTTCTCCTGCCATAGAGCTCCCTTTCTGCTTCCTAACGGGCACCACAAACTTCCTGATCAGGGGCCTTTGTATGTGCTGCTTCCTTGCCAGAGAATAGCACCCCCCCGCCTCCCCCCCCCCCAATGTTACTATTACAGGTTTTCATAGCACCCTGTATTTGTCCTTCCATAGTACTTATCACAGATATAATTAAGGTTTGCTTTTCTATTAGGAACCATGCATGTCTTCTTCATCACCCAGATCCTGGCTCGTAGGAATGCAAATCACTGATAAGTGAATTCAGGAGCTTTTACTGTGAGGCTTCGTGGGACTCTGAAATGGTGGTCTATAACGAGAAGCTTGTTTTGGTGAATAAAGGGGATTTTGTATACACAGTGTGCAGTTTTTCACATAAGAACTGAAATTTAGAAATAAACACGTTTGTTCCTACTCAACTGTCCTCTTACATTGACTGAAAACTAACCCTTTTCCCAGTATTATTTATTCTGGGGCGAGTGAGTGGATTTCCTAAGGGAAAAATATTTTGTATGATTCTGCAAGGCTTTTCTTCCTCCTCATGTAAGAAACTTATTTTACCATTTAAACTGTGCTGTCCAGTACACTAACCACCAGTCACATGTGGCTAATTATACTAAAAAAAAAATGTTTCTCAGCTTCATTAGCCACATTTTAAGTCCTCAGTAGCTGCATGTGGCTAATTAAAATGAACTCAGTTTCTCAGCTTCAGTAGCCATGTGTAAATTACTGAACAACCACATGTAGCTAGTGGCTACAAGCTGGACAGCACAGTAATATAGAATGTTTCCAACACTGCCAAAAGTTTTACTGGACAGTGCTGATGTAGAACTATTCTGCGGAATCTAATTTGTCCTGCCGGTGAGATAGCAATCAAGATGGTTAAACTGCTATGTTAAGTTAGCACAGAGGACTGGAGATTTTGGTGAGGCCAGCAAAACCTTTAAATATTTCTTTCTTTGCCTGGTGCCTTGCAGATTAATTCCAAGGAAATCTCAGTATTTCCCTTTTGGTAAAACAGGGACAGTCCTGCCTCCTTGGGGAATGTTGAAGCTAACAGAGGCCTTGTGAACTTCACTACTAGTTGGAGTGTGTACACAGACAGGTTAACCTCTCTAGATTGCTGTCTCCTAGCCTTAAGAAATCAGGGAAAAAATCTGCTTCACCTGTGTCAGGATTATTTTAGGTATAAAATAGGTGGGGGAAATGCTATATAATTGTAGATAAGAATTCACAGAATTTATATGTCACCATTTCCATGTAGGATACAATAAAGCTTAAGTAAGGTTGAGTTCATCATTAAACCTGTTTTGTGAGGATCTAAGCAATGATAATAAATGTCCATAAATCTTTTTTTAAAATTCCAGGATACATTTTATTGTAGAATGTTGTCAGTGTTAATCATGAATACCCCACTTTTCTGCTCAAAACATTATGACATACATTTCCCCTCTTTTGATATAACTATCTTATTCATTTTAGTCAAAGCCTAGTCCTGGCAGAATACTATCATCATGCAAAGAGAGACCTCTTTAAACCGTTTGTGACTCTAAACAAACATACACTATCAAGTCGAGTTGAGTCAACCTGATGGGTTTTCTGGCTCAACCTTTTCCTGATGCAGGGTTCTCTCTGGGGCTTACTTCTATCACTACTAACCTGGGTTTGCTAGCCTTTAAACTGGAAAGAGCAACTCTGGTTATTTAGAGAAAAGGAGCCTGACCACCAGCAGTAGCGTATTTATCAATGTCTGAGATGCTGACTAACTTCTCTCCATCCACTGCTGAAGCCATATTACTTACCTCACTAAATTCTTCTTTCTACATCTAAACTTCATACGTGTATTCATTTGAATTTTGTAGCTTGAGCACAACTGAGAAAGAACCAGAAAACACTGGTGGTAAATAACACACACATACAAGAAGACACTTAAGTGTTAGAAACGTTTATTTGTCAAAATATTAAAAAAAAAAAAAAAGTGGGAGGAGTGGAATAAAACAAGGCTAAATTTCAGCTAATGCTGTACCACGATCACAGGTCAGACATAAAAAAACAAAACAAACAAACAAAACAACAACAACCCTCCCCCCCTCCCCCACCCCACTGGTCCTAGCAATTTCAGAAGATTAGCTTCAATGTTAGGGTCCAGAGCTAACAGAGAAGAGTAAAAGGTTGCTTGCCACTACATGGTCAATTTTTAAAGGGAAAGGAGATGTTGCTGTAGACAGGGAGAAGGGTTCAACTCCTAAGGAAAGCAAGATATGAGGGGTTCCACTGTACAGGAAAAAGGGGATGCCAGCATAATCCTTACCTAGGGCTGCTCAGAGGCTGGGAATATAAGGAATAGAGTGAAAAGCTACAGAGACTAGTCTCAGGAGGAAAGAAAAGTCAACTGAGAAGAATTAAATTAAGAAAGAAAACATAGTTGGTCACAAATTCCTTTGTTTACTGAAACATGAAGCAATGGAAACATCCCGGCAAAGGGGACCGCGCGGAGCAAGTTCTCATATATGACCGCAGCCCGAGGGTTCAGTCCGCAATTATCCTACCTGAAAGAGAGCACAACACAAGAGGCTTACACAATGCCTGGAGAGCAGCTTGGCTCCGAGTACAAGGGCCCTGGTCCCGTCCTGTATTCCAGGGGGAAAAAAACAAAGAACAAAACAAAACCAAGTCAGACTGGATCAAACTTATATCCCATGTAATTACCTAGGAGTCTACTTTGGCTATATACAGGAATCTACTTATAGCTATACACAGAACAAGAAGCAATCTATCTGGAAGACTGCTGTGTTGGTGATAAATACATCTTTCTCATTTTCTTATCTATCTTTTAGGCAAGACAACCTCTGTGATACAAGGCTACTATCACTGCAACAAAGGGCATACAGATATTATCAAGAATCATAATTTTTGGGTCCAGGAAAAGCAGAAGATGCCAACATCTCAAATATGGCTAATTGCACTATTCTAAATTGTTTCATTTTAATCTTTCATAGTAAACAAGTTTTCAGAAATGACAATCACAAAGGATATCAAGGAGTGGTTCATTCACCCTCCAACACACCAACATGTCATATGGTCACAGATTTAGAGCCATAATTCCAGTAGTTCCCCTAATTGATCAAATTCCCCTTACCAAATCAAAAGAAGAAATCCTAAAATTCTCTAATTCTTCCATTGATGATGGGAACTCCAGACACCAATGGCTGGGGGAAAAAAAAAGTTAACTCACACCAAGTTCCTCTACTTATTACAGACAAAGGGCCAAATCTTGGTCTTGATCTGTGCCAATCGACTTCAAAAGTTGTGACGTTCTTGAATCAGTTCTGCTAGGGTGAGACCCGAATTTGGATCCCCAACAGTTCTGGAGTATTTCATCCTGGCAGCCTCATTAACATCAGGCTCCTGGGACTGCAACCAACTCAGGGTTATTCAGTCCATTTGAGGTTCACACCTGGAAGGTAAGTTTCTTTAAAAGTCATCACTAAAAAGAGTTAGTTGAACAACCACTGCTTGCAGTCAAAATTCACTTTAAAATACCTTAGCAATACCCTTTAAAGACCACAATATACTAATTTAATATTTAACTTTGAAACATATTCAAGAGAAACAAGTTATCTGATAGATGATACCACCTTATTATAGAGGCATATCCCACTTCATGGCAGATCCAGCTGCATTAAAAGTAAAAATTAATGGCAAACTATAGAAATTTTAAGATTATCCACTTCATGCACATGAACCCACACTGCTACACAGTGGTCTTAGGAGATCCCAAGTCGTGTCCTGGTCTTATAGGACATAACTTATCACAGGTTCATGCCATATTTGCTTCTCACTACACAAAAGGGCAAATTCCTATTGCTTTGTTTTCTTCTACATGAGTACTAAAGGGCTAAGTTAGGAACACTGGAAACTCAGTGATAACTTCAGTTAACTTTGCCGTTAGGCCTCTAATTCAAGCGATGCTCAATTTCAAGGTACAAGAAAAACCACGAGAGTAGAAAGTTGTCATGATACCATTTCCACTCAGATAAAGAGATTTATCAATCTTTAGATACTCCTAATTATTCTTGCCATCTCAACATCTTTGGTATACATGCAGGAAAAATTAAATTTCCAGGGTCCCCACCAATGGGATTTTACAGATGTCAGAAAATTACCTGTTTCATCTAGTTCCTTAAATATTCCTCTCAAACAAAAAGCAAAACAAAAACCACTGGAAGAAACGGGAAGCATCTGGCTCTAAATGAGAGCATCAAAGGCTATTCAGAAATATGACTTAAGTGCCCACATATAACAAGATGCTCTGGATTACTAATAAGGAAAGGACTCCAAGGGACAGTGGCATAAAAAATTCTGCTTTTAAACAAGTGTTTCCGAACTAAACACCTAAAATTTATAGGACCTTATTTGGCTTATAGATATATATTAGAAGAATTTCCCCTGATAAAGGCTCACGACCTAACTAGTTTTATTAGCAAATTGGAAGTCTAACGGTATAGTTAAAATTCTCACTGTTACATTATTGTTAACTTCAGAACCTGTACTCTTCAGCTTACACCACAGTGACTCTTGTAGTGGGAAGAGAATGGGTTTTGGAGTCAGCCAGGCCTGAGAGTGAATTCTGGCTCTACCTCTCAATTACCAGATGACTTCAGACGCAGCACTTAACCTCTCTGAGCCTTAGTTCCCTTCTTTGTCAAAGAGAAAATATCTTAAAGGCTTATTGTGTAGATTAAATGATATAATGTACACAAAAGGCACTCAACAAATGTGAGTTCTCTGAACTGTTTCTGTAACCCAGATCTGCTTACACTTGATTAAAAACAATATTCTCATTAACAAACTGAGTTTGTTGTTGTTCTCTCAGAAGGAACAAGTTGGTTGGAATCACACATGAACCTCTGGCCTAAGCTAAAGAAATAAATTACTAAAATTTAAACCTTTTGGATACTGTCCTGACAGCAAACAGGTGGCTTTAGCCTCCTCTATGCAGGATGGGTCTCTTTCAAGGGAACTAAATGGAATCTCTTAACCACACCCACCCCACTCTCACCTCCAGTTTTTAAAAGGCTGAGTACCGTGCTCGGTCCACATACGGCTCCCGCTCATACCGGGCCATGTCATAGAGAGAATTCCGTGCAGCTGCTGAAGCCTGAGACAGCTCACTCTCTGGCCCATAACCGTAGCCCTCTCCAACTGTGGGGAGCACAGCTGCAGCACGACGCAGAGGGCTCCTGTCCCTTCCATAATAGGAGGAAGTGGTGGCAGCGGCAGCAGCCATAGCAGCTGAGGTGGCAGTGGCACCTGAGTTCGGCAACAGGTGTCTGTCATAGGGATCTACAGAAGTGGAGTTGAGGTGACTGGTCACAGCTGTGCTCTGGACTTGAGGCAGATGGGACATGGTCTGCTCTGCGTAGTTGTACGCGGAAGCTGCCGCCGCCGCTGCCACTGCCTCATAAGAGCGGACCCGGTAACGCTTATAGTAGTCGAGTGCTCCATATGCATCGTTGTAATACATGGATTCCCCGTAGCCCATGGTGTAGGGCGTGCGCACTGCTCCATACTGTTCGTTATACTGCTCGGTAAAGTCCGCCACACGACCTGTACGATCCACTGGGCACTCTTTGGACCAGTGCCCCTCTTTCCCACACCGATAGCAGCCACTCTGGTCTCCCATCCCAGGGGCAGTCCGAAGTCGGCTTGTGGACAACTGCACGTGCATTCTTTTGCCTTGAGGAAATAGACGTAAGAATTATTATAATTCACTGACAATCTATCCTTCCCCAAATGAAAGTAAACTAGTTGGTAGCAGACACACATACATACACACACTCCTGCAACCCTGTTTCAGCAATCCCCTCCAAAAGAAGCTCAAGTTTTAATACAGGTGAGAGCTAGAGAAAATCTGAGTTCTCAGAGACCAGTCAATACTTTCTACTTACACCAGGTAGACTGGATTCTCTACTTCTGTCTCCACAACTCTCCTTCCTTCCAACCCCAGCACAGAAATTGAAAAAGTTTCCACTTTTCACTGCTAAGACTGTTATTAATTGTTATTAACGATTCAAAATGTGTCAATTCTTCCAAATTAAATAGCCAACAAAACCTCCGTTATGCTAAATTTGGAAAGCATCTTACCAACCTCTCACTGATTTACTCAGGGCCACATGAGGCCTGAGCATTTACTGTAGCTTAAACACAACAGCAATCTTTTGTCCATCTTGTTTCCTCCAGCCATTTTTGCAGGTGTCACCAGTGGCTATGCTGGCTTCACAAATCATACCTAACTCACCATATGCTTCCTCTCCAGTACCTCTAGGAGTTATAAGATCCTCCAGGTTTCAACCCGACCCCCACTTTTCTCAGCAAGGGTGAATCCATGCCTACTGTGGCAAAGAAAACTACTTGACCAAGGTCTCTCAACAGCAAGAATTAGAAAGATCTTGAAGCAGTACTGTTTCTTAGGCACAGTGTGTTCCCGTGTAGTGGAATGATCACCATTTCATCCTGCCATGTAGCTTATAATTCTTTAGAGGATTATATACTTGCTAGGAAAAGGTAGCATTTGCCTAAAGGCTTCTGGGCACCCATACACACAAGCCACATCCATACTTCCAGGAAATGACCAGCACTAGGAACAGCTAAGAGAAGAAACAATCTTTGCCCTGGGCTTGTGTACCACCAAGCCCAGGGACCCTTACTGATGAAAGCATCCAAGGTCTTTAAAAGCAGTTTGAGAGGACTATTCTTGGCAGTATTTAGTTCCAAACTGCCTAAGACTTTGGAGATCAAGTCAATGCTTTTCAAATTGTAGCCAAAAGACAGCCAGTACAGACGGTAGAGAACAGGGGCTTCGCGTCACACTTAAGGGCTGCTCAGAACAAATCCCCCCTCTGTGATCAGCAAGTTGCTCTCTCTTTAACAGACCTTGTTCTGGATGCAGCTATGCGATAGGAGGCCTCGTGCTCCACCATCCTGTTGGAAACAGCCCGATTCAGGACGGCAGCCAGAACAGCGCAATGCACTGACCCTGAGAGGGGAGCGGGTTAGTGCAGTAACATCACTTTAGTCAAACTCAGTTCTGCCCAATGTCTAAGATTCCTACTACCCAGTTTCTAGTAGTTGCCACCTCCAACTTAAAACCCTTTATTTGGCAGAAATAAAGGTGCTCAGGTTTTTACTTCCAGCTGCTAACAGAGACGCAGCATCCACCATCACCACTGACACAGTCAACGGATAGCAAATGGCAGTAATTCTCTGAAAGCAGCATTTAGCCACCCCATTGTTTTCAGAGATTTAAATACTCCCATTCTAATTCTTAGAAGTTATTAACGGCCACATACTAACTATGCTTAGAACAGAAATACACAGATTTTTGTCCCAATTTATTTCCCAAAAGTAGAGTTCTCTATAACACAGAATGGAGGATTCAAGTGACTTGGCTTTCAAGTATGCACAGTGACATTAATCTGTGTGAGAGACGTAACACTGTGCTCCAATTCTGATGATGGAGTAACCATGCCAATCTAAAAGGGAGCAATCCAGAGACATCCATAAATACATTTTTAAGGAAAAAATTTCAATTTAACTTGCTCTTTTATAGATTCTGAGTCCATTTTTTTGAGTAACAAAACTCGGTGATTTTTCCTTGATGCTTCTATTACTACATCAAATCTTTATCCCTGCTTTATTTAGAGAGTGCAACTCATAAGTTTATAAACATCTGTGACAAAATCTACTTTGGCAGCAGCTGTGAAAAGGAGTCAGGTAAAAAATTTTTTACCTAGAACTAAAAGACCTGTCATAGAAGTGAAGCTCCTTTCACTCAGTCCTTCCAAAGATTCTAACTAGGCTTTTAATTGAAATCCCCTAAAGCTGTTACAATAAGAGAGACACAGTGCTTCTCTATTACCTCAAGGAACCAGGGCAAAGAAAACGGAAAGAAAATTCAATTCTACCACTCCACCACACTTGGAGAGGCCGAAAGCTTAAAGATTTTCTGAGACCTCCAAAAGTGACTGAAATGGGCTGCCAACATTTTCCAGAAAACCAGCCCAATAAAAGTGTTTTCTTCTGAAAGCTGGAACAGAAAAAGTATTAAAATACTGCAAGGTGGGCAACGTGGGGTCCCAAGTGCTGAGCTCCTATCACGTGCCAGGATCCAGAGAAGGCTGGGGATGTAGCTGATAGACAACAGTACTCCAATTTAATGCTTGTTTACACATCAGAAGAACGAGACACTGAACGCTTACACATCATTCCCAATTCAGCTGCAGAAGTGTTCCCTGGGAACAGTGTCTTTGGGGTCTTCCAGTGCAGATGGTTTGCTAACTCAATATCGGGTCAGTTCAGTGCGGCTTGTGGAGAGGAGACATCCTGAAAGACCCAGGTAAACTCAGATCCTGCTGCTTCCTTTTGGAAGGCATACAATTCAGAAGCCCTAAATGGCAGCCATTAACATAGCAAGATTCAAAAGATGTCCACAGTGGCACTCTGAAGAGGCCACCTTCTTTAGGAGATGACTGAAAAAGCTTTATTGAAAAATATGACAAATTGGTACCTAGATTTTATTTTCTGTAAAACTGCAACTTATTATCCAATGCTAAACTTTCTCTGGAAAAAAAACTTTGGTTATACAAATATCTTTATGTATAACTCAGAGCGCTTTCTCCAGAGGGCCCAGCCTAAGAACATGAAAACCAAATAAAGGATTTTTCTTTTCCAGGGATGACGGTTTAAAAACTCTTCACGGATCACTGCTTTACTCAGACATCCACTTCCTCAAGTAATTAAACCTGCTTTATTAAAACACACTCTCCTCCCAAGCCAACTCCCCCGACAATGAACTCAACTCACTTCCGTATACATATTTTTGCCCCTTTCATTCGATTGTATATTAAAATGTAAGGACACGCAGTATTACATTATTAGAATATCTCTGCAGTTTGTACCTTTTCCCACATTCTTTTTACATTTTGCTTGTTACCTGTCAGAACTCCTCCCCACTGTCCGCTCATGATCCCTTCCATCAAATGAAATAATTAGAATACTTTCTAAAGCTGTCTAAAGTGCAAGAGCTTTCTAAAATGGTAGAAGAGAAACAAACATAAATAAGGAAAGTAAATAAGGAAAGCTAACTATCACATTTTAAATGTTTCTAACCATAACAGAAACACACTCATTGTGACCAGCCACACTCACCTTTCATCATAGAGTGCTTTTACTGTCAAAACACTTTCCCATCTACCACCTCACTCTAGCCTCACTACCATTCTGTGAGGGAGGTACCGCAGGGATCATTAACTCTATTTTATAAGTGGGGAAAATGAAGCACAGAGAGGTTAAAACACTTGTCCAAAGTCATACGACTAGTTAAGAGTAGCAAGTATCTACGACTTTTGCCCTATGCTGTAGAGTAGCTACAGGCCATGGCACCACGGGCTGAGGCCAGACACACCTCATGCACTATTTGCTATTTCCACTACTTGCAAACTCTCTTACCCTTTTCTGGTCAACTTTTTTTCTTCTCCCATTTCTTTTGTTTTGTAGGTTTAGCAGAGGACCCGTAAGTACTTCTTAACAACCCTGTTAGTGGCACCCAAAGAAAAAATCATGTTCATTTATGAACCTGAAGAGTGGCTATAAAAGTGTGGTCCAAGATGATACTGGAGAAAAAAACCTGGAGAACAGTGCTATCCAACAGAACTTTCTATGATAATGGAAACGTTTCATATCTGTGCTAATAAGGTAGCCTCTAGCCTCATGTGACTCCTGAGTGTTTTAAGTGTGTGCAGTACAAGTGAGAAACTGAATTTTGAATTTTATTTAAGTTCAATTTAATAGCTACATGTGGCTAGGGGCTACATATTAGACAGCACAGTTTTAGAGTCTTCAGCCAACCTCTTGTGGTATTAATGACGACATATGTACCTTTATTGGTATAAATAACACAATATGCTCTATGGCACACTTACTGGAACCTCCTCAGAAGCAGGCCCATCATTCCCATTCAACCTAATAGTTTTAGAAACGTTCTTTTTTTCCCTTAGGGTTAAATAATAGTAGGTGGAGCAGAAGGTCACAAACTGAGCAAATCTGAGCACTCAAAAGGTACTCCCCTAAATCCAGATTCACCACCCAGATCTATAATATAGGGATTCTTCTAGATGTCTTATGTTCCTCTTCCCCACAACACATCACCCAAGACAGCAGAGAGTATAAATCCAAGGCATTGAAACTTTCAAATATAAGGCTTCCTGGTCAAAACAAAAGCAGCAGGTCAGCCACAGACCTTTATCCTCCCTTCTCTTAGGAGGTACTCATTTGCCCAGAGAGATTAAACTTCCAACAGCACTCAAATGAAAGAAGCCTGTAGGATAAAGTAACCTACAGTTTGTGATGCCACGCAGTTGCTCACGAACATCTTGGCACATCTGAAAAGGGGAAGTGTGTGCTTCTCCAAGAAAATTGTACTTAAGAGTGGTAAACATACAATCTATCATTTCTAGCTGAAATCCAATGGAAGACACCACCCTGCCAGCCCCACGGTCCTGTGTTCTTGCCTCTGTCTTGAGCTAGACCCCATTCAGTTCTGCCACCCAGACCCCAGAGCAGTTCACCTTGAAACTCTGTGTTGTCAAGGCCCCTGATGGCCTCCACTGCGTCCTCTGCCCGCTCCATATGTACGAAGGCATAATCTTTCACGATGTCACATTCGATGACTGGACCGTACTCCTCAAACTTGGCCCGAAGCTCTTGGTTGGTACACGTGGGGCTGATGTTGCCCACATGCAACTTGGTTGAAGCTTTGCTCTTATTCTTGCTGGCTTCCACGTTGATGTTCACCCCGTGCAGCTTGTAGTGGTGCAGGTTGCGAATGGCATCCTCAGCCGCCGTCTTGTCCTCTATGTGCACAAAGCCATAGTTCTTAATGATGTCACATTCCAGCACCTTCCCATACTGCTCGAAGAGTGAGCGGATCTCCTGCTCTGTGGCCTCCCGGGGCAGGTTTCCGATGAAAAGCTTCACCATCCTGACAAGAGCCTGGGAGAGAAGAAACGAGATTTCCAAAAGTTAGGGGAGGAGTGGGAAATTTCAGCGCATTGCATTTTGGTTACTTTTAATTCTCCAGAGAAGTTCTTGGCACCTCGGGACCTTCACAGAGACGTTCATTATTTTTTCTCAATAAGAGGAGAAAGGTTTGTGCTTAAGTAGTGTGGGCTGTGTGACACACAAACAGGAGGCGGGGGGTCAGCATGCAGTGCACGGTCCATCATCTGCGTGCAACGAGGCACGCTTCAGTAACAGGGTTAGCCGTCTCATGTCTTAAAATACTCTTTTTCGGGGGGCAGGAAAGACAAGAGCCCAAGCAGGGGCAAGAGGCATTTATCGGAGCGTCCCTGCTAACAAGGTTTTGGAGGGAAATCTGTGTCTCGCTCCTCCGTGCCGTATCACCTTTCAATATACTCTAAGAATAAAAAGGACCCCTTGGCCCCAAACCGGGATCCCCCAGTGACCCAACCTCCAGCTCCTTCGCCCCAACAAAGACTCGACCCGACCCCTGCCCCGCCCCCTCCGGGGACCCGGCCCCGCCTCCTCCCGTTGTCTTTCCCGGACCGCTCGCAGCGAGAGGAGAAACCCAAACCCGGGCCATCCTCGTCCACCAGAGGCCTGGCCCGCCACCCTCGGGCTCCCCACACACCCGCAAGACCCCCTCGCACCTCCCGGTGGCGGCGGCGGTGGCGGCGGCTCCCGCGTCAGAGAGAACCCTACAAAATGGCGACGGCCGCTCGAGCCTCGGCGCGACCGGGCCCTTTCTCGCGCGCCAGCTCACGCACGCGCGGGTGCGCGCTGCCTCCCTCCCCTCCCCCTCGCGGGAGCCGGGCGACCAATCCCGCGGCCGCACACAAATGACTGCTGCAGGCTCGGCTCCCAGCCGCCCGGGGCCGAGGGCGGGGCCAGCTGGTGACGGCGCTGCGGAGCGGAGTCGGCCCGCCCCCAGCCCCGGCTGGCCAATCACCACCCTGGAATGGGTTCGGCGCCAACGCGTCAGAAGGGCTCCGGACGCAACCACTGCCTTGTGAAGTCAGAAGCCTGGGGGAGTCCTGGCGTCACAATGGGTCGTGCTATTGGGGCGGCTGGAGGGGGCGGCAGCTGATGACAAAGGGTTATCTCACTGAGTCCCCTAAAAGGGGGCTCACTTAGCGGGCTGGCCAGCCTCTATGGCAGCTTGGGACAACATTTTCGAAATACAGGCCTGCCACATTTTAAGCAAACCTAGTTATTTTTTGTAGCGCTTTAAACATAATTTAAAATTTTTTCATTGCAAACAGGTTATTCGTTAATGAGGAAACTGAGAACCAAAGATGGCAGAGCTGGGATAGCTCTAAGAGGCCTTGTATCCAGGCTACACTTAATCGTGTTTTGTTTGCTCGTGTATATACGTGGGCTGATTTTCTCCCTCTAGCTAGAGTAAACGCTCTAATTATGTGTCTTTCACGGTTTCTGGTCCATGGTGAGCACACCAAGGAAATACTTGATGCAGAGGCCCAGAGAGATTCCTTGTTTCGGGAGTGGGACAGGGTCTCCACGTCCACACCAAGCTGCTGGAGGACTAGGTAACTGAGTCCCCGGGCACTTTCTAGCATTCAAAATTCAGCTGTGGTCCAAGGGCACCTCCTGGTGGCAAAAAAGCTACTAGGTGGATTACTGACTGTCACCCTTGAAGAAAGAATAGACATTTATGGAGATTGATGGACTGAGCTTATCTCCGAGTAGGGCATGCCAGGGTGACTGTCAATAACCATTCCTCATTGTGCTGGTTCCGTAGAAGCTTCTCCGATACCATCAGGCACAAATTCCTAGGCTGCCCTCTTCCTCCCCAGCCACTTTGATGTGTTCCTTTCGCTGAATTCTGTTTCCCAGCCATTTCAGAAGAGGTACTGTCCTTCCAATTTTAATAACACTCATACTTGTCTCCCACCTAGTTCTATCTACCTCTCCCCTTCCCGTCTTCTCTTGGGCATTTCCAGTTTCTCTCTACACTCAGACTTTTAAAACATGTGTGGGGACCTCCTTGCCCATTTCCGACATAGCTTTCTCTCGTCTTCACTATTGTTTTCTAACTTGGGTTTCTTCACTGTGTTCCAGGACAAACTTCACAAGTGGAGAGCCTGAACCTGCTATGGCCCACCTTCATACCCTGGGTTTTGGGTTCTGTCTTCCTCTGCAATTCCCAGAATTTTGTGAGGTCACCAAAACTAATGTTCTTTTCGTAGTTTTCACTCTTCTAAGATTTTCATTACATTTACTATCCCTCTCCCCACGTTTGGATACTGCACCAGTCCGTCACCTTCCCCATGGATTTCCCTACTCTTTTTTATTCCCTTTTATCTCCCGTCCCCTTCCCTCATAGGCAACCATTCTAATAGTTTAACGTGTATTATTTTGTCTGTGTTCTTGCAAGACATGTCTTTTTAGTACACATTTGCTTTTTCCATCATTAAAAATGTTTTATTGCGGAAATTTTCAAAAAGGCACAAATAGAGAATGTTATGTTGAACTCCTTGTGGACCCTTTACCACAGCTTTGACGATTATCAACATTTTGCTGATCTTATTTCATCTAACCCCTCCAGTTCTTTTTTTTGGCTGGAGTTTTTAAAAGCAAATCCCAGATATAATGTCCTTTTGCCTATAAGAACTTCACTATCTGCCTCTAATTAAAACATCAGCCAGCGCTATGCGCGTATTACCTAATACTTATATTCACATTTCCCCTAGATTGTTGCAAATATGTCTTTTTACAGTTGGTGTCTTCTAATATGGATCTAAATGAGGTTCACAAATTATGCATTTAGGTAAATTATGTAAATCGTGTTGTATAGCTCATCGTTGCTTACTTTTTTCACTAAGCGCTATGTTGCTCTGTGGTAGCCAACCGCTGAGTAATACTCTATAGTGTGCGACCACCACATTTTACCTTTCCATCTCTGGGTGTAGGACACTCAGGTTGCCTCCGACTCCCCACCATTATAAACAAGGTTGCAATTAACACCTGTCTGTTAATCATGTACCCTAATAGATCCCGGCAAGAATTTGGGGATGTAAGCCCAGGGGTGGCATTGCTAGGTTGCTGGGCCACAGGGTGTGCATGGAACTAATTTGTCTAAGTAGTGCCAGCTTGTTCTCTGGCAAAACTGCACCAGTCTACCCTCCCACCTGCAGCACACGAGGGGCCCTGTGTCTCAACATCTGCGCCAATGTTTGACATTCTCCAGTTTTCTAATTTTTGCCAGTTTACTAGGTATAAAGTGATACATCACTGTTGCTTTAATTTGCATTTCTCTGATTACTAATGATTTTAAGTATCGCTTCTTGTTCTTGTGAAGGTTTTTGGGATTACGCGTCTGTAAATTTCCTATTCCTATCTTTTGCCCATCTTTCTTGTTAGGTTGCAGTTTCCTTTCTGTTGTTGATTTGCAGGATTTTCTTGTACATTCTAGATATTAATCTATCATTGGTTTCAAATATCTTCTCTTATTTCACCATATTATTAACTTTGTCCATGGTGTCTGTCAGTGAGCAGGAACCCTTCATTTTTATGTAATCAAATTAATCAATTTTTGTCTTAAAGTTTGTGCTTTTGAAGTTTTTTTTTTCCCTCCCCAAACCTGGGCCATCCTCGTCTGCCATAGTTGGTACTTATGCTTAGAATATACATAGTATATTCTATTTGTAGTTCCTTCTAGTTCTTCTGTGTGAGCTGCTGCCACAGCATGGCTACTGACAGAAGAGTGGTATGGTTTTGTGCCCGGGAACCGAACCCAGGCTGCTGAAGTGGAGCGTGCCAAACTTTACCCACTAGGCCATCAGGGCTGGCCCTTGAAGATTTGTATAAGATGTCATTTTCTACCCCCCTGAGTCACAAATATATTCTCCTACATTTTTGTCTGTTCACATTAATGTTTTTACCTTTCACATTTACATCTGCAGTCCATTCAGAGCAATGCTGTCCAAATAGAAATATAACGTGAGCCACATATGGAACTGAAAATTTTCTAGTAAACACATTTAAAAAGTAAAATGAAACAGTTGAAATTAACTTTAATACTTTTGAAACCCAATATAGCTAAAATATCATTTCAATTTATAATGAGTATAAAAATGATTAATGAGATATTTTAAGTTATTTTTTTTCCTCTTCAGTCTTCAAAATCTGGTGAGCATTTGCCACTTACAGTGCATCACAGGTTGGACTGGCCACACTTCAAGTGCTCGGTAGCCCCATGTGGTTTGTGGCTTCTGTATTGGACAGCACAGACCTAGAGTTCACCCTTGGAGGTGGTGTTAGGTAAGAATGCAAACACATTTTTCCTCTAAATAATTAATGCATTTTATCTGTCCATATTTCCCCACTGACTTTTGGTGCCTGCATTATTGCATTTTGGGGCTCTGTCTCATATCCCTCACTGCTCCATTCCATTCTGTCATCTTTCCTGGAACATATCTTTCCTTCCACTCATATCCGAAGATGTCTCCCAAGACTTACTTCTTGACCTTGTGCTTATCCTCGTCCATGTCCTGTCCTTAAGGATTCATGCACTCTGGTAGCATCGGCTGCCACAGGTATGGAGATGATGCTCCAACCATATCTTCATTGCTCGTCCATTCACAGGGACTCACCACGTTCTGCAGGACCAGTTCATGTGGCTGCCCTATTTACACTTACACTTTACATGTTTACATGATAATTTCTCCATTCATTTCTCACCCTCGTATACATTTCCTTCTAAAATTTCCAATTATTGCTTTCCCCCTCAGCCCCCGGGCTTGCCACCTTGGAGTATAAACACCCAGCTTCCCTGAACAGTCCACAATATGTGACTTCCTCTTCCTTCACACAGTGGAGATTTTACAGTTGTACCTGAAGAACAAGAGAAGCTTGTAGTGCTGACGTGTTATTCCGTTTAGTGCCATGACAGATTGTTCCAGTTACGTTTTTCTACGTTCACAGTGGAAGACTTCTGAATCTGCTTTTCTTAAGAGAAAAGGGTAATTATTCTGTGGGCTGTCTGGTCTACCACATCTCATGTTGGGAGACCATTCTGGGGTTGTGTTGTGCCAGTCCTGGGCCTGCACACGCCTGACCCTCTCTTTGTCATGGCTGATGACAGTTGGGGTCTGCTAAGCCAGGGCCCTCGGCCGAATACGCTGAAGATGGGGCTGCTTTCCCAGAAAGATCTTCTTTGAGCCCCAAAAAGAAACGGTTGTTTGTGTGTGTACGGGAAACCATGAAAGAACAAAGCTTTTCCTGGAGGAGGCCACCAAGGCAAATACTATTGCCCTGAAACTTCTAATTGCCAAGCCAGAGACAAGGGAGGAAGCCACCTGCTCCTTTTTTTTATACTTCACTAGATCTAGAATACATTCTCCTGCGTGTGTGTGTGTGTACTTACACAATTAGGATGTACCTTGTGGCTTCCCAGGGTGATGTCATTCTATTGGTCAGTGGATTGGGAACCTGTCACTTATCGGATCCCTGTCTGAACTCCCTTGATCCTCTCTATTGGGGATGAGACAGAAAGCGGGGTCAGTAATCACCCTCTGTGTTGCTCCACTCTCCACTGTCAGGCTGAGCAGTGGCTGAGACTAGGTTGTGTCAATGCTCTTCAGTCTCTCCTTTTTTTTGTGGTGAGGAAGATTGGCCCTGAGCTAACATCTGTTGCCAATCTTCCTCTTTTTGCTTGAGGAAGATTGTCACTGATCTAACATCTGTGCCAATCTTCCTCTATTTTGTATGTGGGACGCCCCCACAGCATGGCCTGATGAGTGGTGTGTAGGTCCGTGTCTGGGATCTGAACCTGTGAACCCCAGGCCGCCGAAGCGGAGAGCACGAACTTAACCACTGCGCCACCAGGTCAGCCCTGAGTCTTTCATTTTTGAAAACATGTGAGAGAATCACAAGTGAAGAAAGCTGTGCACAGGGAAGTAGTTGTTCCCTGCCTTTTAACATTAATACTGCTTGTTAACGTCATCTTGA